ACACCATATTATTTTAGGTACCGTGGTTGTGTCATTTATCTACATAATATTATATACACAATATATACGTAATAATATATACGAGTCTTGAGGTCCCCTACATTTCCCATGTGTACATACATTTCATTTACCTGCAGTCAGTCTGACGATTTTTTTTCACCATATTATTATTATCATGCCATATTATAGTATTATGTGTGATTTATGCACACGGCAACCGACAGTAATATTATAATATTTTCGTCGTGTTATCGCTCACCGAAAAAACAATTCTTCACGCGTTTGTTTTCCTCCGCATATATCTTATCACCATTATAGTAATAATTGGCCATTGTATATTATTTCGTACACACACGTTACACTAAAATAATAATACCTATAACGCGCGGCAATCGTAAAATGTAACTATTTATAGACCGTTATGCAATATTGGTAAGGCAGCTACTACTGTGTTGTTATTAATATGTTCAACGACCTACTAAAAAAAAATAGAAAATTTAATGTTATTCTAATTTACCGTCAGATAAATTATCCCGCTTAGGTATCCGCTGTGATAAATATTGAAAACGACTCTATGACAAATTGCAAGTCAGTTTAGTAATTATTATTATTATGATGATTATGTCGGGAGTCTATCGTGTGATAAAATATGTTTAATGAAATGTAGGACAAATAGTTGAAACAAAAAACAATTATACACAAACACAATAATATAATATATTTAACCTCCGAATATTCCTGCCCGTTAATATCATATAAGTAGTTTAAGTTTCTAAACTGAAACATGCTACTTTTTTTTATTATTATACACGACAGGACTTGGAATTTTCATAGTTTGTTCTTTCGATTCTGCGGTTCCGGGTTAGGTAACCGAAATTCCGTTTTTCCGGTTTTAGAAACTACAGGAAAAAGTATTCCAGTTCTAGTTGTAGTGAAGAAATATCTGTATTTAAATTTCAAAATTGGTTTTTAAAGTGTTAATACGATAATCTGTAGGAAGTGTATGAAGTTCGAAGTACTTATCATAATGTAAGTAGTAAAATATAATAAATACCTATTACGATTTGTTCTAAAATAACACCGACTACAAAAATTGATAATATACCTAATATAATATTATAAACGATAGTCATCGAAGTGTGGAACCGGAGTATATATAAACTGTAATTTTATTGCAGTGATTGAAACGTAATCCACTGGGAAAGACATGTTGTTAATTGTTATCACTTTTGTTATCACCTTTCTGTTGTAATCTTGTTGTGTACACTTAACCTAAATGTGTGAATACTATAACGTTTTTTTTTTTGTTCTGTCATTATAAAACCTCGTTATGTCTTGAACTTAAAAGCGGAGCTGTTATTCTTTTTGTCCTTTTACATTAAACAACAGGTTATGGGCCCAGACATGGCTAAAAGAACTGATGACAAGTATGGGATAACTCAATTTGCTGGAACTAATTTTCCAAACTGGAAATTTAGAGTAGAAATACTTCTCGAAGAATTTGGAGTAAGAGCCTGCCTTACAGGTAATGAGCCTAGTTCAACTCAAAAGGTAGAGCTGGAAAAGTGGCAAAAGGATGACAAGAAATGTAAGTCCCTAATTGTTCAATGTGTTGCTGACAGTCATTTAGAGTATGTAATGGGCAAAGAAACTGCGAAGGAAATCTGGAATTCGTTAGTTCAGACGTTTGAACGTAAGGGTGTTGCGAGTCAACTGTATCTAAGACGGCGGTTACTTACACTAAAACTTGAAAATGACACTAATCTTGAAGCTCATTTTATAAAATTTGATGAACTTATAAGACAGTTGAAGTCAGCTGGGGCAAAACTGGAAAAAGAAGATATAGTATGTCATCTTCTGTTGACGATGCCGGAAACATATAACAATGTTGTGACAGCAATAGAAACACTTTCAATTGAGAAATTAACAATTGAATTTGTTAAAGGAAGATTGCTGGATGAAGAAGCGAAGAAAACAAATACTACAGATATACCTCAACAGAGAAGTACAGCTTTTGGAACTACAAGTAATAGTAGTTTTCCATTTAAATGCTATGGATGTGATAAAGTTGGTCATCGGGTATCAGAATGTAAATTTAAAAAAAAGTTTGGTAGAGACAAAAATAAGAAATCTTGGAAAAAGTCAACAGCAAATAATGTAGTCAGCAAAAGTGAAGATGCGGTTTGTTTTTCAATTGGAAAAGATATGGAACCTACCGAGAAGGCAAGTGAAATTTTTTGGTTCATTGATTCCGGTTGTTCAGATCACTTGGTGAATCAAGAAAAATATTTCTCCTTTATAAAGCAAATGGAAACTCCTCTGAACATCGGAGTTGCCAAAAATGGGGAAAGTTTAATTGCGACTAAGACAGGTACAATAATTTCTTATAGTAGAGTTGATGGTGAAGAAATTCTGTGTAAGTTTGAAAACGTATACTACGTACCTAATCTAAGGTACAACTTATTATCAGTTGGTAAGATCGAACAGTTGAACTTTAAAGTTGTGTTTGAAAATGGTCTTGCAACAATCACTCAACCTAGTGGAAATGTAGTTGCTGTTGCACGCAGAATGAGAACTCTGTATGGCATAACTTTCTCTCTAAAACCAAATACTTGTGCAAATAACTGTATTGATACACAAATTGATGAGAGTTTGTGGCACAAAAGGATGGGACATCCAAACAAAAGTTATTTATGGATGTTGAGAGATATGGTTACTGGACTAAATCTTAACAAGAATGATATTCCGGACTTCTGCCAAACATGTGTAGAAAGCAAGCACTCAAGAAAACCATTTCAATCAAGGTCTTTTCAGACTCGTCGTCCGCTGGAAATTGTGCACAGTGATGTGTGTGGACCAATATCACCGACTACTTGGAACGGTAAGAAATACTTTCTTTCATTCACTGATGATTATACCCGTTTTTCAATTATTTATTTATTAGAAAAAAAAGTCAAGTGTTTCAATGCTTTCAAAATTATGAAGCAACTGTAAGTGCATTTTTTGATTTAAAAGTATCCATATTGAGATGTGACAATGGAGGGGAGTATGTAAGCAATGAGTTAAAACGTTTTTGTTCAGTTAAAGGAATTGTTGTTGACTATACTGTTCCTTACACACCTGAACAAAATGGTTTAGCAGAAAGATTGAATAGAACATTGGTAGAAAGAACAAGATCATTGCTGTTACAATCAAACTTGTCAAAAGAAATGTGGGGAGAAGCAGTACTCACGGCCGCTTATTTGGGAAACCGACTACCAACACATGCAAATATAAAGAAGACTCCTGTTGAGCTTTGGACTGGAAGTAAGCCTAACTTAAACAATATTAGAATCTTCGGATGCGTTGCTTTCGCACACATACCAGACCAATTGAGGCGTAAGTTAGACTCAAAGTCAAAAAGATGTATATTTGTTGGTTATACAAAAAATGGTTATAGGCTATGGGATCCATTAACAAAGACTGTGTTTGTCAGTCGAGATGTCATATTTAATGAAAAAGAATTGTTAAATCCTATAATTACTAATAATGAAAAGAAAATACTTGTTGAAATAAACAATTCAGAAATTGCTGAGGAATCAAAAGAAACCACTGAACAAGGATCTCAAGATGAAGAAAGAAAAACAGAAAATGATGTGGATAAAGTCATTGGAAATAATATACCAACACAAGAACAATTGAAAAGAAACAGGAAAACTCCAACGTGGCATAAGGATTATGAAATGTCAATGATGGCACTTTCTGCTGAATACTATGTTCAAGATTTACCAGAAACTGTTGAAGAAATCAAAACTCACCCAAATCATACTCAGTGGAAAGCAGCTATGGAAGAAGAAATGAGAGCTCTTAATGAGAATAATACATGGACTTTGGTTAAAAGACTGCCTAACAAAAGGGTTATGAACAACAAGTGGGTCTTTAAAGTTAAAACTGATGAACAAGGAAATGTTATACGATTTAAAGCAAGACTTGTTGTCAAAGGCTATTCTCAAAAGTTGGGTTTTGACTATATGGATACCTATGCACCTGTAGCCAACATAGTGACTGTTCGCACATTACTATCACTGGCACTACATAAAGACTTGCATATTATTCAAATGGATGTGACAACAGCGTTTCTGAATGGAATAGTTGAAGAAGAATTGTACATGAGACAACCTGAGGGTTTTGAGAAAGGGGAAAACTTAGTTTGTAAACTAAATAAATCATTGTATGGTTTAAAACAAGCTCCTTATTGTTGGAATAAAAGATTCAATGAATTTATTGAAGGGCAAGGATTAGTAAGAAGTAATTCTGATCGATGCTTATATATAAAAATTAATAGTAATGTATGTTTATTTTTACTATTGTATGTGGATGATGTTCTAATAGTGAGCAACTCTATGAAGTCAATGAATGACTTAAGAAGAACACTGAAAGAAGAATTTAAATTAACCGATCAAGGCGAAGCAAAATCATTTCTAGGTATTAAAATAGAACGTACTGAAGACTCTATGAAAATTAGTCAAACTCATTATTTGGAAAAGTTGCTGAAGAAATTTTCAATGGAAGACTGCAAGCCAATATCGACACCTATGGAAACCAAACTTAATACAGAAAATGGAGAGGCAACTAATAAACCTTATCGCGAGTTAATTGGCTGTCTAATGTATGTAATGATTCAAACAAGACCGGATTTAAGCGTTGCAGTGAACTTGTTTAGTCGATATCAGTCTCAACCGACAGACAGTTTATACATTCAACTCAAAAGAGTACTACGCTATGTGAAGGGTACTACTGATTTTGGTCTTATCTATAAAAAGGGTAAAGAAGTAAGTCCACTAAGGGGATTTGTTGATGCAGATTTCGCTAATGACATCAACGATAGGAAATCTACCTCTGGATACTTATTTCAAATATATGGATCCACAGTTTGCTGGTCTACAAGAAAGCAATCAACAGTAGCAATCTCCTCAACAGAGGCTGAATATCTAGCATTGGCATCAGCTATACAAGAAGCTATGTGGCTCAAAGGTTTACTTGTTGAAATGTGCGTTATAGGAGCAGATGAACAAATTGTTTTGTATGAAGACAATCAATCCTGCATCAAAATTGCTGAAGAGCCAAGAAAACATCAAAGACTTAAACATCTAGATACCAAGTACAATTTCATTAATGAATCAATTGCCAACAATGAAATAAAATTGGAGTATGTTCCATCAGAAAATCAGCTAGCTGACATTCTTACTAAACCACTGTCGGCTTCAACATTTATGAGACTGAAGAAACTTATTGGTGTCAATGAATACTAAGATTATTTTTTTTTATGGTTTATATTAAATTAGTCAATAGTCAAGTATAATATTGTTATTTGTTTTACATTATGTTTATTTATTATTATTATTTTACCTATGTTATATGTATACTTGAAATTTTTAATTAATGTTTGTAGTTACAAGATTAAGTGGAAGTGTTGTTAATTGTTATCACTTTTGTTATCACCTTTCTGTTGTAATCTTGTTGTGTACACTTAACCTAAATGTGTGAATACTATAACGTTTTTTTTTTTTGTTCTGTCATTATAAAACCTCGTTATGTCTTGAACTTAAAAGCGGAGCTGTTATTCTTTTTGTCCTTTTACATTAAACAACAAGACAAAATAAAAGAACTTGAGTCTTTAAATGTGATTGATTTAGGACTTAGGCATAGGTACCTACATACGGAGCGTAATGCGTATGGTTATAAGTAGGTAGTCTTAAAGCGTGACTTATATAATCATTAAATCGGACAAGAATAAGAGGAGAGGTGCAATCCTGTACGACGGTAGAATTGTTTTCGAGTAGTGCAGTACTCGAAAATATATTTTACGAGACGACATGAGAACATATTAATATAATATCTCGTAAAAACGATGCTGAGAAAATGCGATTTCAATAAAATCGGTATAGCTATATATAGTCGGATTCTATAAGTATGGATTCGAAGGGAGTTTTAATGATGTTTGAATGAACATTTCATCGAAATATAATACATACAATATGCCAAACGAACATATAGGTACGTACGAATTATTATAAATAATGTGCTTAAGACGAGTAAAAAACTCGAGTTTAGGACATTTTTAAATCTCAAAAATACGATCAATTTTCAAAACGTTTGAACAAATGTTCGTAAAGTTTATTTATTTTTTTACAAAAAAAAAACAATATAACAAGTATTTATTATATGAAATATAATTGTATCAAGAACAATAGTAAAATATCTGCTTATACTAGGTATAACATAAGTATAGTGAAGGTAAATGTATAATTGCAGTGAATTGATAATAAGAACAAGTCAAAAAGAGATGAAACACGATATGGCCGAAAACATGTATTATTCAATAAACGTTAATACAGGATAATGGGGTAGGACAGTAATACAATTAGAATCCAAAGTAGGGATATCCTTTATATATCCTTTATATCATTCTCTAAAATCACGAGATTAAGATGCATTGGATTAATTGTTTGAGGCTGAAAACGGAACAGGAAATGGAAACGTGGTTATAGTGAGACGGGGTGGAACCGGGAAATTGATTCGGGGCAGGAAAGAGTGAGTGAGGTCAATACTAAGTCGTCAAAAGGTTGGAGGGGGATTCGATATTGGCAGTTCTTTTGCGAGGGTGGACAATTTTTGCAATAATGTAATAACTTAAAAGGGGTGCGTAATCGTGTGGAGAACACGACTGTCGAGGGTTGTTGAGATAACAAGAAATACATTGAATCGGAGGTGACATTATAGGTACCAATTATATTGCTAATTTTAATATGGGTACAATGTACCCGGTACATAATATAATTACCGAAATTATATTGAATCATAACCTACGTCGGTGCAGGTACTGTCGAGAAGAGCAGACTCTGTATGACGAACACGCATCACGTGACACGAATCTGGCGGCAGCAGGTCCATCTCTTGACTTGAGGGTGATAAATTGATTTCACTTCATAAATCGCTTACCGTACCGTATCACGGTATATAACAGTATTTACCAACCGATGGTCCACTGTACTGGTGGTATGTGGTGTACAGCGGTAGTAAAAAGGTTGGGAAAAACTTGACTGTACAAAAATATTATTTTTACGGTAATAATATAATAGCGCAATTGCAATAGTATAATAACAATGCGATTCAAACAATGGCGGAAATGTGTGTGCAAAGTGTAATATTATGTATTTTATGCTTTTTTACATTCTGTGTGCCTCACATACAAATGTTGAGAAAAACAATATCAATCAAGCAGAGTAGTGATTTAAGACTTAGTAAGATTTCGCTTTTTGTTGTATTTTTATTGTAAGCTCCGTTCAAACTACGCACGAAACATGCCTACACGAAAGTCTGTATTGATTATTATAAACTTGTTTTATAATAATTTACTTGGTCCTATTTGACTTTAAAATTGCTCTTTTTATTAATGATAATGTTTTTTGACGGTATTGTGTCATGTTATATGATACAATGTATGCAATATTTATTATATTTTTGCATATTATTTACATTTTTTGTTAAAAATTCTGATATTTTTTCTTATAATTATTTCAGATAACACAAAATACTACAGAGAAATCTTATTATTAATCGTTTTTAACTGTCTGTAAGTAAGGCTGTAAATTACATAATCATAACCGTTAAAGTTGGTAGTTGCTACCTATTATATTATATATTATTATTAAATTAATAGATAAAAAGTTCAAATAATTATTTATTTTTATTGGTTTTATAGGATCATTTTTTCCAGTATATTTTCTACAAGTTCCAAAATGTAATATACCTTATTTTGTGTTATAAACGTGTAATATTATAGTACAACAATATTATATAAGCACAATTTAAGTACAGTGTGCTTATATACCAAGCACACCTGCGAGCGAAACAGTAGATTTTTATTTCACCGTTAACCGTGGTATAGCTGATCACAATTTTGGGTCAGAGCTCGAATACGGCCACAGACAGATTTCAACCTATCGGTATCCCGCAGCGTAAAATAATATAGTATCATGATCCACAGATTTGAACAATGCCATGGTGGTATTATTTTGATAAGTCCGCAAACTTCTTCTTTTTTTTTTGTGGGTGTGAGTGGTGGTGGTGGGAAGGGGGTAGAATAAGTGCTCCGAATGTTTCATTACAGAACATCATACATCGTTTGTTTCTATACATCAGATACAATTAATGATACATAAATATACATTGTTATAAAATCATTACATTCCTTCGCTCCACTCTAAAACAAGGATTTATTCTATTAAGATAAAGGTTGAATAAAATCTTAAGACTTGTCAAAATTATATATAATATACCTACTTTATTACATTTCGATTTTATAATTACAAGGCAATACAATAAACACTGGTTTAAAAATCTGGTGAAATCAATAAATTCTATATTATGATCATAAACAGTATAGTATAGTTACTAGTAACCAAGTAATTGTGCGAAAAACAAATAAGTGTTGTTATAAGAACAAAACAACTAAGTTTTTTCTGAAAATATGTAATACAATATCAGTACCTACAAATAATTAAAAGCATCTTATAAAATACTCTAAAGTAATATTTTAGTGATTTAGATTTATAAACTCGAACATGAGTAATTTAACTGGTTGACATGGTAATACACAGTTGGCGTTGGCAATAAATTCTTTACTTATACAAGCAGGCTGACGACCATCGGATGCTATGGAGAAGAATCATTATCCGTGCGACGTATGTGACAAGTCATTTGCCGAAAGTGGCAAGTTAACGAATCATCGAAGGATGCACACAGGCGAGAAACCATACGCATACGATGTATGCAACAAGTCGTTTGCTGTAAGTAAAGCATTGACGATTCATCGACGAACACACACAGGCGAAAAACCATACGCATGTGATGTATGCGACAAGTTGTTTAGTCAAAGTGGCCATCTGACGGCTCACCGACGAACACACACAGGCGAGAAACCATACGCATGCGATGTATGCGACAAGTCATTTGCTAATAGTGACCAATTAACGAAACATCGACGAACACACACAGGCGAAAAACCATACGCATGTGATGTATGCGACAAGTTGTTTAGTCAAAGTGGCCATCTGATGGCTCACCGACAAACACACACAGGCGAGAAACCATACGCATGTGACGTATGTGACAAGTCATTTGCTAATAGTGGCCAATTAACGAAACATCGACGGACGCACACAGGCGAGAAACCATACGCATGTGATGTATGCGACAAGTTGTTTAGTCAAAGTGGCCATCTGATGGCTCACCGACGAACACACACAAGCGAGAAACCATACGCATGTGACGTATGTGACAAGTCATTTGCTAATAGTGGCCAATTAACGAAACATCGACGAACACACACAGGCGAAAAACCATACGCATGTGATGTATGCGACAAGTTGTTTAGTCAAAGTGGCCATCTGACGGCTCACCGACGAACACACACAGGCGAGAAACCATACGCATGTGATGTATGCGACAAGTTGTTTAGTCAAAGTGGCCATCTGATGGCTCACCGACGAACACACACAGGCGAGAAACCATACGCATGTGACGTATGCGACAAGTCATTTGCTAATAGTGACCAATTAACGAAACATCGACGAACACACACAGGCGAGAAACCATACGCATGTGATGTATGCGACAAGTTGTTTAGTCAAAGTGGCCATCTGACGGCTCACCGACGAACACACACAGGCGAAAAACCATACGCATGTGATGTATGCGACAAGTTGTTTAGTCAAAGTGGCCATCTGATGGCTCACCGACGAACACACACAGGCGAGAAACCATACGCATGTGACGTATGCGACAAGTCATTTGCTAATAGTGACCAATTAACGAAACATCGACGAACACACACAGGCGAGAAACCATACGCATGCAATGTATGCGACAAGTTGTTTAGTCAAAGTGGCCATCTGATGGCTCACCGACGAACACACACAGGCGAGAAACCATACGCATGTGACGTATGCGACAAGTCATTTGCTAATAGTGACCAATTAACGAAACATCGACGAACACACACAGGCGAGAAACCATACGCATGCGATGTATGTGACAAGTCGTTTGCCGAAAGTAAAACATTGACGATTCATCGACGAACACACACAGGCGAGAAACCATACGCATGCAATGTATGCGACAAGTTGTTTAGTCAAAGTGGCCATCTGACGGCTCACCGACGAACACACACAGGCGAGAAACCATACGCATGCGATATATGCGACAAGTCATTTGCTAATAGTGACCAATTAACGAAACATCGACGAACACACACAGGCGAAAAACCATACGCATGCGATGTATGTGACAAGTCGTTTGCCGAAAGTAAAACATTGACGATTCATCGACGAACACACACAGGCGAGAAACCATACGCATGCGGTGTATGCGACAAGTCGTTTAGTCAAAGTAGTAATCTGATGACTCACCGACGAACACACATTTGTGACAAGTAGTTTGTGGACAATAGATATTTGTAACTCATCAACGTACTTGAGCGATGTTTGTGAAAAGTCATAACATTAACTTCAACTATTTGTGATCAATAGACTCTATATTATAAACGTTTATTACTACTTCTGAAAGTATAATTTTGAAAATTTTTGTTCAATGTGGTGACAGTCTTATAATTTGTAATATAAAAAAGGTGGGCAAGTGGGTGTCGCTCTGCTGTACAGTAGGTTACAAGTGGGTCACTGTATAATGGATGGTATTAAATTTGAATTCAATGATATAATATCATTGTATAAGAAAAACGATTCTGAGCGGTGACGGTATGTCAGTCTATGTATAAGACATTTTATATACATATCTATGGTATTAAACAAAAAATTGACCTATAATAGGTACCTATAATAAATTCCAAATTAATCATATCACAATATCCATTAGATACTTATAACACGTTATACATCAACAAAAACCGTGATACTATCATAGATATATAATAGTACACTTTAGAAGTTTCAAGTACCCACGAATAATATTATTCAATCACAACAAAATAACTAAAATAGTTATTCTAGGTTTTTTAATATGTAATTTCGTCCAAATTTGAATTTAAAATGTCTGTAAAAAATAAGTGTGTTCATATATTTTTTAGATTTTTTGGTTACAGTATGAACTATTTACGAGAACCTTTGTGTTGAATTTGCAATCCTTAGCTATAAAAACTGAACATTTTATAATTTTTTAATTCCAACGATTGATAAATTTTGTCAAAATTTGATCTTTAAATGCTTATAAAAAAAAACTGTGCCTATGTATTTTTAATATTTTTCAACTGCTATTGTAACAATATATCAGGAGCCTTGTATTAAATTTTTACACTTTTTGGCCCAACAGATAAAACTTTATTGATATTTATAGAAAAAAAACCTAAAAAAATTGAAAGCTGTAAATGTCCATAAACAGCTCAAAAAGAGTCAAAATTGTATGGTGTATAGAAAATGCTAATTTAAACATTGAGTGAAATTTTCATGTATCTAATAATGACTCGTCAACTGTGTTTTGAATGTCATATTTTGTATACCATACATTTACACTTTCACTTAGATGTATGGTATTGGGCAATTGTATGCTTTAAATAGTAGTATATTATTTAATTTACTTATTCAGATATTCAAAATGTATATTTTATATTTTTATATATTTTTTTTAATTCGTGGGGGGGGGGGGGTAAGGCCAGGCACGTTTGCGATAGCAGGTTACGTGCTGGAGAAAGGCATGGCATGGTATGGCATGGAGGGGAATGGTCGCGCATGTACGCGATAGCAGGCGCGCGGATAGATTAGGATGACTATAGGGACTAGGGACTAGTGTGTGTTTGAACCCCCAAAATCATACTACTCTCTTCCTCTACGGCCTTGAATAATAAATTGAGATCTTTCTGATCCCTACAGTTGAACTCCAAAATGTCTTCATCAGTCAGCTCGATTGATCGTGGAGGGTACACCTCTAGCAGCTCCCCTTCTTCTCCGGATAATGTGCACAGCACTGACCTCCCGTACTGTGTATCTTTATTTTGCATCCTCGAGATAGGATAAGGTCTATCGCCGACTGAGATAAATTTCACATTGCACTGCGTAATCAAACTTTTCTTCAACGAGTCCATGACGAGTATACTCTATTAACAGATTTTATAATTATTACATGTGAAATATATGACGACTATGTGTTCTAGATATTAATATACGTCTATAATTTATATATAATATATATAATACACCATATATGAATATCTAATAAATACTCACTCAATAGTTATCAGGTTGCAGGTAATTTACTGTAATATATCTTTGCAATCGATAGATATTCAGCTTTAGCGGTGATCAAAGTCGTGTTGTTCTGATTCCCTTACAATATTACCTTGCCAATGTATTACAATTTGGTACATGCTTGTCGATAACATTTAATAGGTCAATTAAAAAATAATATACATTTTCACTATTGTTATCGAACTGGTGAAATAATAATTCATTGGCATTTCCAACGGACTCTTGTACATCGTAATAGACATGCTCCTTTAATCTATTGTGATGATTTAAAAATAAGCATGTACATTGCTATCGATAAAACTTCACCTTATAATAATATATTAACTAAGTTGGTATAGTTAGCTATTTTAAATGAATAATAATTAAAGGGATTTAGAGTATCTATTTCTTTTGTCCTATCTTTTATTACCAATTAAAGCATATAATTATTACGATTGATTGGGATCGTGAGTATAGATTTATAAACGAAGGATAAAATGATATGTAATGATTTATGAATTTGTGATGCACCGGAGTCTGCGTGCCTTTATTAACTTATCGTTGATAATGATTTCTTTATTGAAGTTATATGGTAAGTATTATTATAATTTCTTACCTGGTTGATGTTGCTTGATTTGAACGATGATAGAATTTGGAAATGGAGTATTGACGATGTTAGTTTGTAAGGATAACGTAAGTACAATTTTGGTTTGAAAATAGAAGTTATATTTAATAGTTCACAACAAGATATTTATAAGATTTAGAAAGAATAAAGTTTTTAAGTTCATATTCGCTTTAAGATTTTGAGCAGCGAAATAAGACGGTGCGTATGAAAAAATGTGTAAGCGCAGTATTGGCTAGTATGAGCAGACTGATCTGAATATCGAAAAGGAGGTTCTACTTATAGTATTGACCTCTGATACCTTGTTGTTCCGTATTAAATTGTTGTTGTTTATTTTGTGTAAGTACATGGGTATAATCAAAATATGTTTTTGTAAGAATAGTGACATTTGTACATATATATATATATATATATATGGTTATTACTTATTGATAGTTTTTGTACATTTTGAATTATATCAGGGTACATGGCTACGTTCAGCCGTTTTCTGTACAAATCCACGACTTTTTCGAATCCTTTTTAGATTTTTTTGTTGAAGCATTTGTTCTCCATCATCTTCACTATCCTGGATGCTAGATTGGTCGCTTGGTGGTTCGCAGGAAACGTCCCTCTGCACCTCGCTGTCGCTCCCAACCAATAATCCCGCTTGGGCTTGTCCCATATATCCTTCCGCCTAAACAAAAAAAAAAATACTTAATATACTAAATAATAACATGTACTTATACGGTCTACATATTTATCGTAATTTAATAATTTATATCGTAATGTCATGTCATTATAATTTAATTCTGTTGGTTCGTTAAAATGACGCATACCACACGTACGAAAAATGTCAGGTCTACGATTATCATAATATATTATATAGTCTTCAAAATTGTCTTCGATTAAATAATTTACGTAATCGTAACCATATTCATACGCACTGCGATTAACTACGTCATTTCTAGAACAACAAAGTAATTTAAAAAATGAATAACCATTTTCAATAGACATTTATTACTGCACATAATATTGTTTTAATTGTGTACTATAATATATGTTTAACATATCAATTTGATCGTCGGGATCGTATTCATTCAAAGTTATTTTATGAGTTTTAATTAATTTAAACCCTACTATTTTATTATATAAGTCCCTATCTCTATTTAAAAAATTTAATCGTAATTTTAATATATAATTCCTTAATACTAACCGATAAATGTTTATATCTATCAAATAATCTGACATTCTCTGCGAAACCTCCAACTGCGTGGACGCGTCGGCCGCCCGCAGATAAGTATCTCAGTATGTTTCGTTAATCGACTGCTCCGAGCTCGACGCCTCGAGTAACCCGACGAAGTCCACGTCTTTCGTCCCGGCGCCAAAATGTGCTTCGAACGATGAAGGAGCACCGACAAGTTCCTCCTGCGTATCCACAGATATTGCTGACGTGGACGTGGTCTCCATGTTTCGCGACAATGTAGAAGTGCATATTTGTTAATGAGGTAGTCCAACTCACGCAAACATTTCGGAACTCCGCCAGCTCCACTCGGCACAATGACACGGCTGATAATATATCTGTGGATTCCAGACACAAATTTACCAGCCAGTTCACGTCCAAGTTCGGCAATGAGGTCCTCATATTTTTCCTCATGTGATTGTACAGTGTCGTCATCGTCGCTGCCGGAATAATCATCGTCTCCTCCCAAACTGTCTGTATCTCTGTCGACATCCATTTTTTCGGATGTAACACGATCTCGATTACTTTCGTCGGACAGATTGCGAAAATAATCATCACCGTCACTAGGATGGAATATTCGTTCGTATGGGTCGAGAATAAAATGTCGCATAAATCCAAAAGGTCCGCCTCCTCGGTCAAGTACTTGTTCATTTTCTGTTGTACCCACATGGTCAGGTTGGATAGTTTCTGCTGCTTCATCTCCGCTTCCAATTCTGTCAACTCGTCGTTCTCCGGAATCACTACTACAGTAACATTTTGCTGTAAAATATATTAAAAACACTATTATTACGACAACTAAATGTTTGTTTGGGTATTTAAATTCATACAATTCATATTACATATGATAATATGATTCTAATATGATCATATTACAATTCATTCGTTTATTGTAGATAAACGAATTTAGTAACATATCTTGTTGGTCTCATTGTTTATTTATTTTATTGAACGCTTCTTTATTAAATTTAATATTTTTTATTTCATTGAAGTGAATCGGTTTGGGATAGGCCTGATTTGAAAAATTGAATACCTACATTACAGCGAATCATTCGTAAGAGATAAGTCTACTGGAACTGAGAAATATGATGTTTGATTTAATACTTGTTCAGTTTTTAGTACACCTTTCGAGATGTAAGCAATACACCCAGACTTCAAGTATAACTTTCCAGAATTTTTAATTTTAATTTTTTGAGTGAAAGACTGTTTATTACAAGTTATAGTAATTGTAGTGGGTTTTTCACACACAAAAACCAGTGATTTTTGAAAATGAGGTACCACATTTCTGTTTTGAATTCAGAGATATAAGTATCACATTGAGGTGGTTTAGTTACAGAATTTTTTAGTAATTCTGTTACACATGTGGGGTCCGTTTCACAATTATGTATAATTTCATTAAACCCACAAAAAAATATTTTATCCACTACTTTATAGTTATTTAAATCTGGTCAAATAAAATATTTGGTCATTATTTTGTCCATTAACAAATACATAGAATTTTTAGTCATATGGAGAAATTGACTATGTTCATTAATTGGAATGTAAATCGGTAATATGTAATAAACGTTGAAATTTTCTATAAGGCAAAGAGGAAATTTAAAAAAAAAATAAATCTGTCATTTACTGTGTTTCAATACTTAAGATTTTGAATATTTCTTGAATATTATCCTCATCAAATTCAACAGGGTTTTTCAAATCATCCGGGAGAATAGTCTGAATATTTTTTATTTCCGATAACAATTGGTCGGGTGTTATTATAAACGCATCTACTATATTGTTCTTTACGTTAGAAATTACTCTTTGCAACCTACTTATAAACATGTCTAATTCAAATATAGAGTTTTCTAAAAGAGTTATCGAACTCAGAATAATAATTTTTCTGTCTTCCTTAGCTATCTCAATAATCCTTTCGTTCACTTTTTTCTCGCCTTCTTTCATATTTGAATTAAACATTTTCTTATTTTCATTAAATGATGTAACAGAATCGTTAAAATTAATTATTGTGCTTTTTAATATATTATATAATATCTGATCATGAACAATACGCATAACATCTTTCTCATTGTTTTCTAATTTATCGATCGTATTATTATATTATCTTTGTACATCGTCAGCATCAGCTACTCCATACATCTATTTTAATACCGTACCCCCCAAACTCAATAGATCGCTTAACTTTTTTGCTATGTCTACTCATTTGTACAATTAAACCTATCTCGTTTTCCAATCTAATCGCGTGTTTTTTTAACTGATACAAAGTTATAGATATATCTTTGAACGCAATTAGTTCAATTGATTTTAACATTTCCCAAATATTTCTAAGACTGTTATTTAAAATTTTATATCATAGTTTTTGAAATACACCATTCTAATTTATTTAGCTCAATCAAATCTGCACGATTCAATAAAACTCTGCATTCGCTTTTATTTTTACATTCAACAACTAGATTGTTTTCACCCTTGTACACCATACTCGATATTAGAAATAAATCAGTTTCGAGAAAAGTTATTCGTTTATTTGTTCGTGGTGTTTCTAATATAAATGATAATATATTACCGATAAGAGCAAATATACGTCTTAGGAAATCTGTTGTTAATTTTATATGTCTCGATGAAGTGATTAAATGTATAACAGTTTGAAATTCATCAGTTGGATCGATACCAATATGCACAAACTTACGTGCTGTAAAGTCTAATGTATATGATGTAGATTCCATAAGATATGCAGGTGGTGTCGGTGGAATGTATGTATACGACTTCTTTTTGATATCAACAATTGGACCGGCCATATTGAAAAATAAAAACACTTGTAAAAATTAAAAACACTTGTAAAAATTAAAAACACTGATGATTTTAAATAACGTTGAGTAAATTAAAAATGACTGTATGAAAGAACTAAGGTAAAGTACGAGTATAGCTCTCTGGAACAGACTGATTCGATTTGGGTGCACTTAGTGGCTTATATGCTTATGGAAAAAGTGAGAAGGGTTATTATATTGTACATTAATAAATAATTGTAT